TTGATTTAGATTGCGGATATCTGTAAGGTAGGAAAATCATGAAGTTCTTTACTATGAAGTAACACCTCTTATGCAATGATCCAAGAATGTCTACAAATGTGCAGGTGGGGTAATATGATGACCAAGCAGACAGTACTAAAATGACTCTTTGGCTAATTCTGCTGACCCTCAGGTCCTGTCCTGTCTTAGTTACTTTTTTCATTTCTGGGACAAAATACTTAACACCCACTACTTAAGGGAGGAGATGTTCATTTTGGCTCAAGTTTCAGTCCACAGTCAGCTGGATCCAAGGTGGAATGGCATTATAGAGGGGCATGGTGGAGAAAAAGCTGTTCATCTCATGTGCAAAGGAAGCTGAAAGCAAAGGGAGCTGGGGAGAGAAGTAAAACCTCTCAGGCCACACCCTTCTGAGGAGACCTACCTCCTAACAACAAATCAGATATAGACTTCCATAACCAATCCCCTTTCCAAAGTCTCACCTTGGAGCACTTGAAGCTCTTGGGTGGACATCTGAATAGAAACCATAACATATTCTTTATCAGTAACACGATAAAGGATAGAAAGCCACAGGATTCTACCGAGGTTAATCACTTATGGCGCTTATCAGTTTCTCCATATACTGAATTGTTGTTGCTGTTTACTCAGTTAATCCCCAAAAGCTCCTCCAGATTCCCCAAGTGCCTGGGGAAAGGCTGATTTCCTCCAGTACGATGGTGTCTTTCAAGGAAGATAAGGAAACAGAGGCCACTCTGTCCTCCAGGGGAAATATGGCAGAAGGCCCATCTTCAGCTCCATCTTGTATCCAGATCTCTGTAGCAGTGCCGAGTTTGTGGGGTGCTGATTTTAAGACATAAAACATAATGGACAACTGGGCATGAAGAGCCGTGGGCTTAGTCTCTGTGGGGGTCTCTGTATGGAGGAGAACTCAGTATATGGCCAGTGCTTCTGGTTTGATGGTATAGAGCACAGAGCCAGGGGTTGGCATCTTTTATCAGCAGCTCATGGAAACAAGGCCATCACAGGTGGTCCGGAGACTCTAGGAGGTGTGTCAGGAGGTGGACAAAGCCCCCACTGGAAGTGTTGAAGGACAGTAACAGAAGGGACTGCCATTTCCCCAAAATCAATGATTTTAATAAAGAAAAAATGGACTTTTGAGAGAAAATTACTGAGCCCATTGTTCTTCAGTCCTTCCAGTCTGATCTTTAGCTGAGGATAAGTACTGTGATTGTTCAGATCAATAGAGCTTAATGACTATTTTTAGGCAAAGTTAAGATCTGTTCATGTTTTCTATTAGGAGGAATATATTCATTGAAGTAAGAGACCAAACACCATTTTTCAAGAGATCTTCATTCTCTTCCTGTGGAAATCATGCCGTGTGCGACTCTTTTGTCTCAAACATTTTGCCACATCTGTCATGTTCACACGTAAATGGGCGCTTTTCTTCATGAAAAGAGAATATAGCTCTAGAGATTAAACACAGCTGTGTGGGTTCTGCTACAGTCTTCTTTTGGACCTTAGCATATATCCTTTTCTGAGATGTGAGTTTTCATGCATTGCTTGAGATAACTCCACATTTGAATTTTTATGGCATCATTACATTATTCTCTTTTTACGGAGTTCTCTTGTGGATTTTGGATGCTCCTTCCTTGTTTTGCCACTGAAGGGCTTCTCTCTTGACATATTTTTCCCTTGTGGACTTTATCATGTTTTTCAGCCTGCAAGGTAAGCAACTGTTTCCCATATCCTTCAGGGTTACACTGGAATAGTGGTTCATTTTTATGTTGGCACTGATGGCTTTTCAGCTGCTGGTGTTTTTCATTTTCTTCCCATGTCCTTCAAAATTGCTTACATATTTCTTTCACAGGCAACATCTTTCTTCCAATTAAATTTTATTTTAAATTTTTAGATCACATCTGCTAAATGCACAAATAAAAGGCATTTCCACAGTGTGAATCAGAATGTGATGATTCATATGGCAGCCCCTGCTAAAGTGTTTGCCACACTTGTCATAGTGCTGAGCAAGTGGTCCTTCCACCATGTGATCCCATGAGTGTGCACTGTGGTTGAGCTTCTAACTGCCCAGATAAAGAAGATTCTTCAGCGCACAGGGACAACACTAAGGCCAGGTGTTCCCGTGTCAGGGCCACTGCACAGGCAACAGAATCACAGTCACATGCAGTCAGATGAGGAGCCACTTGAGGTAGCCAGGGGAAAGCAGCCAATGCTCTGCCCTGCAGGGCCAGGTGATTTTAATTTGGACAGACTTGAGAGGCATTTTGTCAGAGGAGCCACATTTAAATGATCTGATTTGTCAGTAGCAGTACCAGAGAGATTAAGAAGAGTTGGGAAATGAGAAATATAATGACATCAGAACTCAAAAGGACTAAAAGATATTGGACAGTTATGTCCATGAGGGTGTCAAATGCAACTGCTTCTGGGAGATGTTTTGGGTGCAATGTCACCCCTGCACATCTGGAGAAAGGTGCGTGCCACTAAGCTCTTGTCTGGGTGCACCAGAGGGTATGGAATAGTGAAGCCTTTGAGCTACTCCTTTGGTAGATATGAAGGCAGAGTCCAACTAAAAAGGCATTGAAACAGCCACTGAAAACATATTAGTAAAGCCTAGAATATCAAAATATTTATTGCTGTTTGGTTGAATAAAGTTAAAATTTTGTACAACATCGGGCATTGAGTATGGGGATGTGTATAGGTCTATTAAAGTTTCAATAAAGAAGGGAAAGGAATAATGATGAGAAATGGAAAAAATGGAAACAAAGTCTTTGTAAATAGGGAAGGGTGGAGGGCGTGAAGGGAGGGCTAGGAATGGGGAAAAATAAGAACCAAGATGCATCATGTAAAGGTACAAGTTCCCAATGAAAAATGTAAATGTGTTGTATACCTACAATGCACCAATAAAAGAATTTAAGAAAAAACATGTTTCAATAAACCATCAGAGGAACCATTCTTTATTTTTAAATTTCTTAAATATTCAAGAACAGGTAAAGTGGCCTATTAAGTGAAAAGGCAGTGGGTATAATCACATCTTTATTAACAACATCTCATGTAATTAGTTTTAATTCTTGAATATTGTTTTATAATGTATATTGAACCATCTTAACTATTTTAAAATGGAGAATCTATGGAGTCCCAATCTTTATTTGTTTTTAATTTATCTCCCATGATTTCCAGGCTCCTTTGCCCAGAATGGGATATTTTAAGCCAATAAATACTACAGCACTGGGAAATTGAAAAGAGATTATAGTTAAAGTGACTAATAACTATTTTTCTATATATGATATTCAGCTACTATATTACAGGTTCTAAATATGTAAGTTCAGTTGGATCTCATGGTGTAACCATAATTTGAGACTTAGTAAGATTAAATCTATGAAGCTCTGTCAATGGGAATATTTTAGCAAATGTTAAAATTTATTTAGAACTCACAACATAGGGGCATAAAAGTCCAGAGGACTTATTTTCTTGTGGTCACACAATTTATTTTATCAAATTTTGGATCTTTTGTTAGTTTCTTTTATGAACAACTATATTCATTCCATGCACCCCACCCTCCCCCATGTTTTGGGCTACTGGTCACCCGAAGCTGTGTTTTTTGGTTTCTGTTTCTATCTCATAATTGATAATCTAGACAATCTACATAGCCACCGGAAAAGACTGGGGAAAGTGCCTGCTGGTGTGGCTCACAGGGACCTCCCTGTTTTTCCAAAGCTTCCAAGTTCACCACTAAAGGACTGGGTATCTCTTGAGACTGTAGCATCTTCTTCTTGGAGGAGCACAGTACAGTAGCTCCCTTGTCTGAAGTGGCAGTGCTTTCACATCCAGCCATAGAGGGCCACATTAAGGTCTGATCACACTGGCTGGCATTACCTTATTTAAGCAATTAGGTAACTTGTGCTGGTGTTGTAAGGGGTGTTATAGAAGTAAGTGTCCCTCTAACATCTCATGTGTTCAGAAGTGGTGCTTTTGAAAAGTGACTGGATCACGAGGGTCTTGTACCATCACTGGATTAATCAATGGATGGTTGAGTTCATAACTGAGTGTGTTGTTAGGAGGTGGGGCCTGGTTGGAAGAGGTAGGTCACTGAGGGTGGAGCCTGGAAGAGAGTATTCTTGTCCCCAGCTCCTTCCTTCTCTTGTCTCTGCTTCCTGGCTGCCATGGGCTGAGCAGCTTGCCTTCACCATGCCCTTCCACCATGCTATTTTCTGCTTTGCTGCCAACCAACCATGGACTGAATATTCTAAAACTGTGAGCCAAAATAAAATTCTCCTCCTTTAGTTTACTGCTGTAAGCATTTTGCTATAGAGGCAAGAAAGTAACTAATACAAGGAAGATGCTGCGATGAGATATTTATTTCCATGTCCCAGATGGCTTTTTCTAATTAGACATTGGGCTGAATATCTCCAAGAATTCATAATATTCCTGAGTGTCTGGGAGGGAGGACAGAAAATTCCCTTATGGCAACAATAAATTATGCAGCAGAGAAGAGAGGCTGCTATCCCACCTTAGCAACTCCAACAGTGAGACACAGATGCCATTTCTCTATCATGGGGTAACTGAGTTGACATCTTCCTCCACAGGCATTTCCTGAACCATTTTGTAATCCAGGATTCTGGATCAAATAATAACAAACATGGGTGCCAAGGAAGTGAGGGCTCCTGAAGTAGGTCTCTGTTAAACATAAACTGACTGAAAGCACAATGAAATGCCAACTGCAGAAAGCTCAGTTACTTCTATGGCTGAAAGGCAGGTCTTCAGCTAGGCTTGTGTCTGGCTCCATAGTTTAATCCATTATTATCCCAGCTTGTTGAGAATATTCCAAAAGACCTGAAGAGACATGGCAAACACAGGCAGACATAGCATCAGCCAACAGACTAAAACACAAGCTCAAGTTCTGTTGATCGTTTTCTGTCCGTGGTCTGGAACTGATTAGGAAACCCAAAACAGTTTCCTGAGAAGCTGTCCAAGAGTCTACAGTCACAGCCATCCTGCTGAGCTCACAACACTGATTGTTTTATGAGATTTAAGGATTCTTTGGATGACAGAATATGACCCAATGAGACTTGGAGAGATGAAAGGCAGATTTTCTTCTTCCATACAACTACTACTGAGACAGGTAAGTCTGGCAGCCCCACACATAGAACTGCATTCAGAGACATAGTAGGAGCAACAAAGAGATGTAGGGTACAGCTAGGCAGAGTAGCTACAGCCAGCAAGGTGGGTTTAGCTCTGATTCTCAGGTTTCCTTTAGACTGATTAAAACTGCCTAGTTGTATGAAGCTTGCCCTGGGCTCATTTGGCTAGGTGTGTGATGGCTAAGGCTATGAGAGCCTGATAAAGGAAAGGGTTGGGATGTGGAATCAATCAGTGCCTCAGAAAGGGAAGCTGAGCAGTCTCCAGCCAGGGCCTGGAAACAGGGTCAAGATATCAGTTATAAACCACAACAGTAAAGAGCAAATCTATATTACAGCATAGGAAAAACAAGATTAGTAATAATATCTTTTCCTTTTTCTTTGAAAAATTTTGTTTTAAAATGATTGGGTTAGGGAGATATTAACATTTTCAAAACCCATTATTATCTGAGATAGGAAGAAAAATATTATAAATATACTATGTAGAGATGTGTAAGTAACTTTTGTGTGTTTAGAAATTATATGTATGTATATATATGTGTTATATACACTTATTCCTAAATACTCAGAAATAGATGTATATATCATTTTAATTATGAGCTAAAGCAATAACAAAAATTCAAAAAAGCACCTCACATAAAAGTTCAGATATTTATAATTTCTTTGTTCTGTTTATGATTCCTTTAACACTGCATATGTAGCTCTAATGTGATAATAAATTAATATAGTTATCTTATTCCAAAAGTTCTCTTTTCTCCCAGGATGGAACTCAGGACCTCAGGGCCAGTAGGCAGTTGGTGTACCACTGAGCTGCATCCTCAACTCACCACCCCCTTTTTGAGATAGGGCGTCACTAAATTGAACATGTTGGCCTTGAACTTCAGATCTTCTTGCCTCAGCTCTATTAGTAGCTGGGGTTAAGTGTTAAAATTTGTTCTATTGAATAAATGGTAATGACTGTCACTGTAAATTTTTGGTCTTTTCACGGGCTCTTTGCACTAACATAAGAGGAAAAAAACCTTTTTGAGATAGGAGAGAGAGAGAGAGAGAGAGAGAGAGAGAGAGAAGTAGTAGTTTGTTAGGGCTGCCATAACCACACTCTGGGTGAATTAAACTCCAGAAAATAATCTTCTCACAATTCTGGATACTACAAGTCTGAGATGAGAGTCTTCTTTGGGTTGGTTTCTTCTGCAGGCTTTCTCTTGGCTTACAAATGCACAAGTTCTCTCTGAGGTCTTCTTTCTGTGTGTTCCTGTGTCTTCATCTCCTCCTTTTATGGAAATAGGACCAACATAAATATTTCATTTTTACTTAATCACATTTTTTGACTTATCTCCAATTACCATCTCATTCTGAGGTCCTCAGGGATAGAAGTTCAACATTTTTGAGAGACATAATTCAACAAATAACATATATATGTTATATATATTTATTTATATATATTATATATATTTTATGTATATGTTATATATATTTATTTTTATATATTAGATATTTTATATATGTTATATATGTGTGTATACATGTACAGATACACATATTTAATTTTTGGTTGAGAAAAAAATGGAAGAATAAGTAAATTTCTTTTGAACTAAGTGAAAATAATAATCCAACATGTAACTGGAATGATACTAAAACAAATTTCTCAGGGGGATCTATAGCATCGAACACTTAGAAAGTAAAAAGTTCTCAATGAATGATCTCAGTTCCCTCTTTGAAAGCTAGAAAAATAAAAGGAGCAATGTACAATCTAAGTAAATAGAAGAAAATAGTTAAGATCAGAGCACAATATACTGAAATACCAATCAAGAAATATGTTAGATAAAAATTAATGAAAATACAATAATGTTTTATTGAGATTATCAATGTAATTAATAAAGTTTTAACTTGATTGACACACATACTGAGGAGTAGGAACAAGAGACATCACTAAATATTTTAGAGATATTAAAATGGTAATGAGAATATTATAAACATCTATATACCCACATATCCATCAGTTTAGATTGCAGGATACAATTTCAACACAAAAATTAGTTTCATTCAATTTCCATATATAACAAAAAAACTATTGGAAATTGAAATTGTCAGTAGAATTACAAATATGAAATTCTTAACATAAAATCCTGTGGAGAAAAGGATATTTTGGAAAGTGAAAGGAAAAATACAGACTTAGAAGTCCTCAGTATTTCTAAGTGGCAGACAATGTTCTTCTTCCTGTACTCAGAGCAAGAGATTTTGTCTTTTACCATTAAGTATGATGTTAGTTGTAGACTTTCCCAATATGCTCTTAGTCAAATTGAGGAATTTCCGTTTGTCTTTAATTTGATGACAATTGTTATCACTCAAGGATGTTGGATTTTTATTTAAGAAATTCCCTTCTCCTACTGACATGAGCACATGATTTTCTATTTAGTTAATATGGTTTATTTTTAAATGTTGTACCGATCTTGCATTCCTGTGATAAATCTATTAATTTTGATCTTTTATCTTTTTGCATTGTTGAATTTGGCTACTTTGAAATATTTATATTTATATTCATGAGATATTAGTATAATTATTTTTTTCTTGAAATATTTTTGTTTGAGTTTGTTTTGTATAAAACTTAATAGAAGTTCTTGCTAGTGCTAAAAGGGAATTGATGCATAACAGGAACGCATAATGACAAGACAAAAATTAAACTATCTTTATTCACATTTGACATGATCTTGCAACCTTACTAATCTGTTTTATTGTTATAGTGGCTCTTACAAAAAATATTCACAATTTCTTGTATATATCATAGCATCTGAAGTAACTTTACATCACGACATTTATTTCAAAATGAAGAACCACAAAAGATCAATAAATACATGAAAAAATATTTACCCGTTAGACAAATACAAATCAAAACAACTGAGATTCCATCTGAATCCCATCAGAATGGCTGTCATTAAGAGCATGCTGGCATGCTGGCTGTCTCTCTCTCTCTCTCTCTCACATGCACACACACACACACACACACACACAAACACACAATGCCGGTGAGGATGTAACGAAAAGTTTCTGTATGGTTGGTCGTGATGTAAACTAATACAATCACTGTGAAATCAGGTTCCTCAAAAAACTAAAACTAGAGGTGGCATTTACATATATTGCTCAGTAAAAAAGCAAAGTGTAGATCAGTATATATAAAACACATTTGTGCAAAAAGAGGGGCAAAATAAGAATTACACTGGTTTGATAAGCTAAGTGAATATGAAAACCTTTCCATTAATAATTAGCTAAAAGGGTGAATGAAGGTCAGTGGAGGAGATGGGAGAGAATTACTGGATGGCATGTAGGGTAGGTGTTATACTTTAAAATGTATGAATATGTTTGAACTCCGTGAATGCATGAGCTAATGACAATTTACATAATTATGCAAATCTAAATTCAATCATAATTATGACAACTTCTGCAAATAAAAAAAACTGTGATATTTACTATAAAAGCATACTGCACTCCAGTAAAAACTCAACAAATACATTCTATTATCATTTTAAATGAAAGAACATGAAAATCGTGACACTAATTATGTTTTAAAGAAATAAAACCTAATATAGGGTTATGTGTTCTGTAAATATATAACAACAAATGAGACTTAGAAGATTTTACTCCAAAGATATCTTGGTAAAATTATAAATGTTACTACCATGTTCTGCTCTAGTCTGTAATTTATAATTCACTTAGGGTAGGGAGAATCTAATTTGAAATTTAATTCCAAGCAGAACTCGGCCATAAATTTATGAAAATAACTTGGAACACATGGATGAGTGATTACAGCTCCTTCACATGGCGAACTTTACAGTGAGGCTCCTATAAGTGGTGTTTCACTTGCTTAGTTGGAAGTGTGAACTATTTAATGTGTTGCTATAGATTTTATAACCAAAACTAAAACACAGTACCAAATAATAGATCTGAGTATAAGGAAAGGGATATTAAATATTTTGTTCCCTTCTTTATTAGAATGTACTTTAGCATCAATATACAAGGAATATTAAATATGAAGAAAAATTAGGTGAAATAAATCAAGATTGTTTCACTATAGATAATAAAAATCATACTGGATTTTTCATGATTATCTTCTCAGAAGAAGCAGCAACTTTCACATTCTCTTTTTAAATTTTAATATAACACAAAGAAATATTAATAAAGAAAATATAAAAACCATTCTATAAAAGAATAAATTTTCATAACAAAATTATTAGAGAATAACAGTGGTAAATACATTGTATATCATGATCTAAAAAGAATATATTTTCATTTGCAAATCTACTTTTAAAGACCAAATCTCAGTGTTTTGCTTTCTTAGCCTAACAGCAACAGATCTGGTTAACAATTCTGTCTTTTGGCTTTAACAATACCACCTTCTTTAGGATCTTTTGCTAACTCCTTAATGTTCCTTTCCAGTCTCTGTCAGTGGCTTTCCCTCATTCCCCCAGCAGTTTAATGTTGAATGTCAGGGGACTTAGTTCCTACCACTATTACCTTTGTTATTGTTTTTTAATAGTGTTTATGGGGTGACCCCATCTAATAAAAAGATCCTAAAAAAAATTATACACTAAAACTTCTGAAATTTATCTATCTGCTTTGGTCCTCCTCCAGAACTACAGATTCATACCTACAACTATCTATTTCATGTGTGTAATTTCCAATAATGTCAAAGTACATTTCTCATAATTATAATTATCCCACCTTTTTCCTTTCTCCAAGTCACCAAAGTCTTTGATAGAAGTTATTAAAATACTCTGACTGGCTTCCCTGTTTTAACTCATCTCTCAAAAGGCTATATTCCACCCAGCAGCCAGAATAATCCTTTGCTGCTAAATAAGAATATCCCTTTCCTCTGCCTGACCCTCACAGTATGTTTCCACCTTAATTGGAGTCCAAGTCTTGCCATGGCTTCTAGCCCCAAATGGACTGCCCCATCCACTGCTGCTGACCATCTCACTGAACAGCCAGC